CTCGGAAGCTTAAGTTACCTTCTATTTAGCAATTAAGCAAGTCAATTAAAAGAAACAAAAAATTTAAACATAAAAAATCAAAAGTCAAACAGAAAAAATCTAATGAATTTTTCCAATGAATATATTTTCTAAAAAAGTACTATCTGTATAAGTGTCTTTACTAATACATAAACAGTAAGCGTTATCAAAGAAACGAGACATTATTAAGAGAATTGCCGTTTTTGGAAAGAATATATTGATCATTTTTAGGTAAGCCATTTATTTTAACTTTTCAAGCGCTGCTGAAACCCTTTAAAGACCATATCAATTTTTGTTGCTAACAAACGGTGTTTTTAAAATTTATCGGAAGGCTTGAAAAAAAAAGAGTTGTTGAAAAAAGAGCCATCGAAGGAGCGATTCCTGGAAAGGAATCAAGATTTTTTGCCAAAATAATTTGGCGATTTATTACAAAAGGTGACAGGTTCATGTACTATGGCTGGATCCCTTTTTATTATACTTGGAATAGTATTTATAATTTATTTCAAAAACCAACTTTTTTGGCAAAAGAAGTGTTAGTATTGAATTTTTGAATAACATTTCATCTGGCAGAAAATGTATGTACAAAAACTATCTTAGTAGCATGTACAATGATTTAAAATGAAATGACTACATTATGCTATATAGTTCTCAAGTTTAATACATGCACTATACTCAAACCTACTACCTATTGTAACATATCACCAATTTTTTTCTCAACTCTGACTGTTATTATTTCATAAATTTTGCTTCAATGCTAATCTACTACTGGCAACATTTTTTACCCTCAAAATGGACTTCATAGGAGACACACATCGCATTTTTGTCAGACCTATTTTCTTTGTTTCCTACCAAGTGTTGTTTAGCTGTGTGTTGTGTTGTGTGGTCACTCACCTGGCTCGTCTATGTTGAACTCGCCCTCCTCCAACATGCGCAAGTCAGCGTCCGTCAGAGGCTCCAGTGCATCAATGTCCAGTGCATTAATGGAGGAGTTGTTCACACTCTGCTGCTGCTGGTGCATGGCCACCATGTCTTGTAGTGCACAAGTGTCGATGTCAAAGTCCATTTCTTCGCCTTAACACACAAACAGCAGTCAGTTCCTTCCTAATGAACAAAGTCCAAAAATGGCTCAAAAGGTCGAATATGCTTCAAGTTCATAGCGGATTCCTTATTCAAATTGGACAAATTCGCTTCTAGGGGATACCCGTAAACCTGTTTCTTTCGATTGAAGCCTTACTCTCAGATTTGGCACAGTGGTTTTTGAGCATAAAAATTTAATCATAGATTTGGCAATGTAGTTTTCGAGCCAAGTAAAAAACAGCTAACAGGCACTAATGAAAGTGTCAATGAACGCAAGGAAACAAAACACTTGACTCGTAATTTGAAAAAAAAACCTTCAATTTTCGAAGCTCTTTGAATTTCAATAACAATTTTTCATAGACACTTTCTGATAGGAAAACTCAATTTAAAAAAAAACTGAACCAATAGGTAAAGTTTTAATTCCGCTGGAAAAACTCAAATTCACGTCCGAAATTACAATTCAATTACAACTTTTGTGCTTTTTCCCTTTTGCTGTTCAAAATTGGCGTGTGCCTTCCTTTTTCAAGATGAACTGAACTTTGAAAATTAAAAAGTGAAAGCGGAAAAAATTAGCTATGAGGGTGAATAAAATTAAAGACTTTTTCATGAAAAAAATGAGCGAGAGTATTGACAATACACTGTCAACATTTCACAACAAGTGACTTTTCCTAATTTCAACATTGCTTTTCTGCAAAAACTAGGACATAGCCACTATAGAAAAATTTCACAGCACCTGTGCTTGCGATTGAACCCTTTATTAGATGACTCCTTTGTTTGGCAAGGTTGTTTTCGATAAAGCTCTGGAAAAAAATTTAGGAAGTAGCTGCTTATGCAGAGACAAATCTTACTCCCTCTTTTTCCAATTAAATCTTTGATCTCAGATTTGGCAGTGTAGTTTTCGAGAAAAGTTAAAACAACGAGCAACATTTCTAAAATGTTACTATTTTCGAGGCAAAAGCTTTTTTCATCAAAAAATGAGGTCGGCAAAAAATGTGCAGCAAAATTTCACAAAATCTGTTCTTTCGTTTCGATAAAGACTCGAACATCAGATTTTGGCAGGGAAGTTTTCGAGAAAAGGAAAATATTTCCAAAAAACGGTCAAAATTTGGGTTATATCTAAATCCAAAGCTAATTTTGCACAGAAAAGTAGGGCGTGGCTGCAGAGACAGAGAGACAATTCCTACATTTTTTGGGTCTACTACTTTTTTCAAAAAATTAGGGCGACACCAGTTGTGCAGCGAAAACAAGGAAATTGGCCAGGAAGTTTTCGATAATAAGTTGGAGGAAGTTTTCGAGACTCACTTTTAGTGAGTACAATGTCCGGTACTTGTATCTGTCTCTGCTGCTGCTGCTGCTGAAAAGAACTGAGAGACGCAGCCAACACGTCCCCCTGACTTCCTCCACCTCCGTCTCCTCTCCCACCCTCACCCCCACAACCAGCACTTCTGCCAATCTGCCTCGCCCCCATGTGGTGGTATTGGCCGCCACCTTGACCCTGTTGTTGTTTGCCCCCGGCCGCCTCCACTTGACCGAGGTCATTTGGTCCCACTGGAGTCATCTCGCCGCCGCCTTCATTCGGCAGCAGCACATCTTCAACGCCGCCCCCGCACGTAGACTCAAAAAGCATCTCATCTGGCTCGAATTTGAGGTCACAGTTTGTTCGCTGTTGTTGATTTGCCATCTGAGCCTGTTGTTGTTGTTGTTGTTGTTGCGCTTCACTGACGTATATCACAGGCTGATGACTTTGGTTTTGCACGCCCATGGACGAATCCATATCCTGTATAGTTAGAAATTTGAGATACATTTCACATTGGCGACTCAGAATCAAAAAGTACAAACATCATGTGCTTTGAATTCACCAAAGACATGATCTTTGCACAAAAAAGAATGAGTGATAAAAGTGAGAAGTGGGGCTCAAAAACAGTATGGATAGTGTGCAAGTAGTAGTAGTAGTAGTAGTAGTAGTAGTAGTAGTAGTAGTAGTAGTAGTAGTAGTAGTAGTAGTAGAGGGAGTTAGTTACCTGAGACACTTTCATGTAGGACATCTGCTGGTGTATCTGGGACAGACTGGCCGCATTGAGGAGACTCTCCATGTAGCTCTGCTCCTCAAACACACCTGCCCCCATTCCGCCCACATGCATGCCTCCTCCATTCACATCCCCTCCCCCTCCGCCTCCGCCTGTGTGACCTGCCTGTATCATAGCTCCCGACTGGTAATAGGAGGAGTGCATCTCATCGTAGCTTCCGTTCCCTCCATTGGGCGACTTGTTCGACTGCCGTCTATGGCAGAGTTGTGATTGTTGCTGAGAGTTTTGATTTGATTGCCGCATCTGCTGCTGCTGCTGCTGCTGATTTGAGAAGGCATTCACAGTTTGGTGAGTGAAGTCATCCGCCGGAGAGAACATGAGTGGGTCAGAAGACATTGCCGCGGGCGGACTCTGCAAACATATCAAACATAGCATAGCTAACAGACAGTGCTAAAAGTGTCAATGAAAGAGCACGAAACACCACTCATTATTTCAGAAATAACTGCAGGGTTAAACTATATAGCCTTTCACGGTTGTAATCAGAGAGCAAGAACTGCTTTCTTTTTAGATTGAATTCGAATTGATCTTCAAAAACAAATCAAAAATGAAACCGCAAAAACCAGCCAACATACGGTTGCAAAAGGGTCAATGAGCTCAAGGAGACCAAGAAAAGTAATAAGGTTTCGAAGAAAAAAGTATACCACCTTGAAGCTCTTTTAACTTCGAGAATGTTTTATGATTAACACTTTTTGATTAAAAAAAAACAACTAATTTATTGAAAATGTATCAATGTACCCTCAATTTACTCTTAGCCATAGAATTGCCACTAGTGAGAGTTAGTTGCTGTCCACGGTTATGTTATTTCCTCCGCCTGAAAATCTACTGACAAAACTAAACTTTGGAGCTAGAAGTCAATCATGTTGCATTTTTGTCATTGGAAAGTGTCATTTCACATCTTTCTTTTGCAAATCGAAATTGATTTGATATTAAAATTTCAAACGCTAAAAATCAACTTTTGAGGTTGAACCACTTTTAGTGTAAATCCTGAAAAAAGCCAACCCTACCTAATTAAGTGGTTCACTTCATTCATTGATGCTCCAAGTATAAAATTAAAAAAGTGAAACCCGCAAAGATGCACGGAAACCGGGTGTCCTTGTTCTTATTTTATACTTTGAGCATCAATGAATGAAGTGAAGAGACTTAATTAGGTAGGGTTGGCTTTTTTCAGGATTTACACTAAAAGTGGTTCCACCTCAATATTTGATTTTTAGCTCATGGAATTTAAATATCAAATCAATTTTTCGTTTGCTAAACAAACAGATGTGAAATGACTCTTTCCAATGACAAAAATGCAACATGATTGACTTCTAGCTTCAAAATTTAGTTTTGTAAGTAGATTTCCCAGCGGAGAAAAATACATTACCGCGGACACCAACTAACTCTTAGTTGTGGCCATTCTATGGCTTAAGAGTAAATTGAGGTCACATTGATACATGTTCAAAAAAATGGTTGTTTTTATCAAAAAGTGTTAATTATAAAACTCTCCAAGTTAAGAGCTTCCAGGCGGTATACTTTTTTCTTAGAAGCTTGACAGATGGAAATTTTTCGAAAAAACATATATATTGTTTTCAAAACATAGACATTTTTGTTCGTGATTTGAACAAAAATTTGAACAAAATGGCTGTCCGTTAGATTAAAACGAAACCAATGGGAACATACAATGCAAATAAAGCGAAGCCGAATGTCTTCGATCGAACCGATCTCATCGTAGAAAACACCGACTTTTGAATAATTTCGGGAAGCGGCTCGAAAAAATCGAAAGAAACATGAGATCAAATGAAACAATCAGAAAGCATGTCAAAAAATCAAAACAAAATCAGATAAAAAAGGTAACTCCATAAGCAGAGCAGTATCTTTCGCTGAAAAAACGTTGAAAAAATCCTTCGCAAAAGAATAAGATGAGAGCAACAAAACTGAAACTAAATCCATGATCAGACTAGCTCTAATCTTGACTAACTATATCAGCTGGTACAGTTGTAATCAAATTTTCAGCAGCAGAACCGGTTGCATCACAATTAGATACGCGAGTCAGGACGTGTTTTTTCTTTTGAAAACTTCAGGAAGCTAGTCAAAAAAATCGAACAAAGTTGAAAAAGTAGAGGATCTGATGGAAAAAGTAACCACAGAAACAGAACAGTATCGTCCGGTAAAAACACAATTTCAAAAATAAATCTTCACAGAAGAATCAATTAGATGAAAGCAGTAAAACTAGCACAAAGTCCTTGATCAGACCAGATTTATCCTAAATAATTATATCTGTTCGTACAGTTGTAATCAATAACTCAGGAGCAGAACCGTTTGCATCACAATTAGATAAGCAAGTCAGGTCGTGTGTTTCTTTCTTATCGAAAAATTTCGGGAAGCTGCTCGAAAAAATCGAAAGAAACATAAGGTCAAATGAAACAATCAGAAAGCATGTCAAAAAACCAAAAGAAAATCAGATAAAAAAAAGGTAACTCGATAAGCAGAGCGGTATCCTTCGGTAAAAAAAACGTTTAAAAATCCAAATAAAAAAACCCATCGCAAAAGAATCAATAAGATGAAAGCAACAAAACTGAAACTAAATCCATGATCAGACTAGCTCTAATCTTGACTAATTATATCAGCTGGTACAGTTGTAAAAAACTTTTCAGGAGCAGAAAAGGTTGCATCACAATTAGAAAAGCAAGTCAGGTCGTGTTCTAATTGAAAACTTACTGACAATTTCAGGAAGCATATCGGAAAATCGAATGAAGCATAAGGTCAAATGAAGCATGCCAAAAAACCAAAACAAGGAGAAAATCAGATGAAAAAATGTGACTCGAAAAACAGAACAGTATCTTTCGGTAGTAACAAAATTTCAATAATAAAACCTTCACAGAAATATCAATTAGATGAAAGCAGTAAAACTAGCACAAAGTCCTTGATCAGACCTGATTTATCCTAAATAATTATATCAGTTCGTACAGTTGTAATCAATAACTCAGGAGCAGAACCGTTTGCATCACAATTAGATAAGCAAGTCAGGTCGTCTTCTTTCTAATTGAAAGATTACTGACATTTTCAGGAAGCACACTGAAAAAACCAAATGAAGTATAATATCAGAGGAAGCATTCAGAAAACAAATCTAACGAAGTAGATAATAAAATGAAACTGTGGTAACTCGAAAACCAGAACGTAATCGGTGATTATAAACATTAAACGTTATTCCAAAATACTTCGTACAAAGATTCAATTAAAAGAAAGCATTAAAACCAAACAAACTTCCTGGTCACACCACCTCTTATCTCAAACGTTTACCTCAGTTGTTACAGTTGTAATCAGTAAATCAGGAGCAGAACCGGTTGCATTACAATTAGAAAAGCAAGTCAGGTCATGTTCTTTCTAATTGAAAACTTACGGACGATTTCAGGAAGCATATCGGAAAAATCGAATGAAGTATAAGGTCAAATGAAGAATGCCAAAAAACCAAAACAAGGAGAAAATCAGATGAAAAAAGGGGACTCGAAAAACAGACCAGTATCTTTCGGTAAAAAGCACAAAAATAAAGCCTCCATAGAAATATCAATTAGATGAAAGCAAGATAACTAGCAAAAACTCCTTAATCAGACCAGACTTATCCTAACTAAATATATCAGTTCGTACAGTTGTAATAAAAAACTCAGGAGCAGAACTGGTTGCATCACATTAGATAAGCAGGTCAGGTCGTCTTTTTTCTAATTGAAAGAATTTAATGAAGCAAGTCGAGAAAACCAAATGAAGCTTTCAGGATAGATGTCGAAAAAAAATCGAGCGAAGAAAAAAAACAAATGAAATTGAGGTAACTCGAAAAGCAGAACGTAATCGGTGATTATAAACATTAAACGTTTCTCCAAAATAATTCATACAAAGATTCAATTAAAAGAAAGCATTATAACTAAACAAACTTCCTGGTCACACCACCTCTTATCTCAAAAAATCATCTCAGTTGTTACAGTTGTAATCAGTAAATCAGGAGCAGAACCAATTGCATCACAATGAGATAAGAAAGTCAGGTCGTGTGTTTCTTTTTTATCGAAAAATTTTGAATAATTTCGGGAAGCTGCTCGAAAAAATCGAAAAAAACAAAAGGTCAAATGAAACAATCAGAAAGCATGTCAAAAAACCAAAAGAAAATCAGATAAAAAAGGTAACTCGACAAGCAGAGCAGTATCTTTCGGAAAAAAAAAACGTTGAAAAAGTCCAAATGAAAACACCCTTCGTTAAAGAATCAATAAGATGAAAGCAACAAAACTGAAACTAAATCCCTGATTAGACTAGCTCTAATCTTGACTAATTACGTCAGCTGGTACAGTTGTAATCAAATTTTTCGCAGCAGAACCTGTTGCATCACAATTAGATACGCGAGTCAGGACGTGTTTTTTCTTTTGAAAACTTTCGAAAATTTCAGGAAGCTTGTCATAAAAATCGAACAAAATTGAAAAAGTAGAGGATCTGATGAAAAATGTGACCACAGAAACAGAACAGTATCGTCCGGTAAAAACACAATTTCAAAACTAAATCTTCACAGAAGAATCAATTAGATGAAAGCAGTAAAACTAGCACAAAGTCATTGATCAGACCAGATTTATCTTAAAAAATTATATCAGTTCGTACAGTTGTAATCAATAACTCAGGAGCAGAACCGTTTGCATCACAGTTAGATAAAGCAAGTCAGGTCGTCTTCTTTCTAGTTGAAAGATTACTGACAATTTCAGAAAGCACGCTGAAAAAACCATATGAAGTATAATATCAGAGGAAGCATTCAGAAAACAAATTTAACGGAGTAGAAAAACAAATGGAATTGTGGTAACTCGAAAACCACAACGTAATCGGTGATTATAAACATTAAACGTTATTCCAAAATACTTCATACAAAGATTCAATTAAAATAAAGCATTATAACCAAACAAACTTCCTGGTCACACCACCTCTTATCTCAAACGTTTACCTCAGTTGTTACAGTTGTAATCAGTAAATCAGGAGCAGAACCAGTTGCATCACAATGAGATAAGCAAGTCAGGTCGTGTGTTTCTTTCTTATCGAAAACTTTCGAACAATTTCGGTAAGCTGCCTGAAAAAATCGAAAAACAAAACATAAGGTCAAATCAAACAATCAGAAAACATGTCAAAAAACCAAAAGAAAATCAGATAAAAAAGGTAACTAGACAAGCAGAGCAGTATCTTTCGGTAAAAAAAACTTCAAAAAAATCCAAATGAAAAAACCCTTCGCTAAAGAATCAATAAGATGAAAGCAACAAAACTGAAACTAAATCCCTGATCAGACTAGCTCTAATCTTGACTAATTATATCAGCTGGTACAGTTGTAATCAAATTTTCAGTAGCAGAATAGG